TTTTCATGGTATTTTCTTTCTAGTCTAAGAGATGAGAATGTTGATATTCGGAGTTTGAAACTTTATCCCACCCCATCTATTGGTCTTCTTCTTGCTCAAAGGGCTCTTCTCCTGAGAGCCACCTTATATTCTCCTAATAACTGTGTTGTTTTCTATGCTCACATACATTGTATGGGACATATGGGATAAGGTAAGGACCTAACTTGATATTTTCTATATTCCATTTATCCAGTAATCCATCTCTTCCTTTGTTTTGTGATGTTACCTTTATCATATCTCAAGCTATTGCACATAAATAGAGGGCTTTCTTTTTTAGGACTATTCTCTTTTATTAATTCACTAGAGGCCCGGTGCATGAAATTTGTGCACTGGCAGTGGGGGCGGGGGGGGATGGGTCCCTCAGCCCACCCTGTGCCCTTTTGCAGTCCGGGACCCCTTGGGGGATGTCTGGCTGCCCAGGGAAAGTTGGCCTAAGCCGGCAGTCAGATATACCTCTCGCAGTCCGGGACCCCTTGCTCCTTACTGCCTGCCTGCTCACTGCTCCTTACCACTTGGCTCACTGCTCCTTAGCACTGCTGCGGAGGTGGGAGAGGTTCCTGCCACTGCAGCTGCACTTGCCAGCCGTGAGCCCAGCTTCTGGCTGAGTGGCGCTCCCTCTGTAGGAGTGCGCAGACCACCAGGGGGCAGCTCCTGCATTGAGCATCTGCCCCCTGGTGGTCAGTACAGGTCATAGCAACTGGTTGTTCTGCTGTTTGGTTGATTTGCATATTAGCCTTTTGTTATATAGGATATTTGTGCCAGAACCACCCTTTGCTGTAGCTTTACAGTATATCTCCTATCTGATAGAACAAGTTCACTCCTCCTCATTAGCTTTCCTTTCAAAACATTTTTATTATTCTCCTGTATTTATTCTTCCAGCAAAACTTCCAAAGAAAAATCCCATTGAGAGAATATTGGATTGCATTAAACCTAAAAATTAAATTGGGTAAAATTGATATATTTGTAATATTCCACACAGACACACTGTATGTCTTTCCATTTATTTAAGCCTTATTTCATGTTTCTTGGTATAATTCTGAGGCATTTTTCATGAGGTCTGACACATTTCTTATTAAGCTTATATTTCTTGGTGTTTGAGATTTCCGTTACTCCTGTGAAAGAGATTTTTGTCCTCATTATATTTTCTGGTTGTGGCTGGGATGTTTGAAATCCATGGATACTTATTATTCATTTATCTTGCTGAACTCACTTCTAATTGTTTTTTAGCTGATTCTCCAGGGTTTTTCTAGGTATGTGATCCTATCATCTGCAAATAATGATAACTTTGTTTCCTCTTTTCCAGTAATCACACTTCCTATTTCTGTTTTCTGCTGTAACCAAAATTTCTAAAATAATATTAAACAATAGGGAGAGTAGCAGACATCCAATGCTAATGGGAATGTCTCTAATGGTATTTTTGCAATAAATAATGATATAAGCTGCCAGTGAAAAATATGCTTTAATGCATTTTATGAATTTATTCTTCTATTCATAGATAACAAAAATATTAATCCCCACTAGAAATGATTGTAATACTTTATCAGTGCCTTTCAAAATTGAATGATCATATAGTTTTTCTTATTTGATCTAACAATATAATATGACAATAAAATTTTTACAGCCATTCATTTTTTTCTATCACCAATTATCCCCTTAAGCCCTCCTCCCCTCCCCGCTGCTTCCCCCCACAATCACCACACTGTTGTCTATGTCCATGAGTTCTTTCTCTTTTTTACTCAAAACCTGCATCCCCCAACCCCCATCTTCTGACAACTGTCAGCCTGCTCTCTATCTATTGATCTGTCAATATGCTGTGATGGATGACAATACATTTTCTAATATTAAATCAAACTGATAGATATTACTTGGTTGTACTAGATTATTCTTTTTATACTTTTAATCCACTTGGCTGTTAACTTATTTAAAATTTTAAAAATATATTAATTCTTATCTTTTTACCCTATCTCTGTTATGTAGGCATAGTGAAATAACTTGGTTCTGTAAAAATGGAAACACCTGGATGTGAATTATGCTTTGAGCAACCTACTAGTTCATTGACCCCAGGCCAGTTCCTCCACCTTCCTGGACCACTTGGTCCTTCCTTACAAATCGGGAAGGGTCATATCTTCTTTGTAAGATTGTTGTGATGATAAGAGATAACGTATAGAAAATGTCAGGCATGTGCTGGATTTTACTGTAGGTTTCCAGTTCTTTATTTTATTACACTGCCTCTTTCTATAGGACTAATTTATTTGAAAGTAGGCTCTGTGTTGTATCAGTCCCCTATATTCTCTGTAACACACAGTTCATTTCAGAGCATTCAGTGGGAGCTTCAGAAATACATTTTTAAAGGAAACAGTTGTTTTCTGAAAGAAGAACATTTGCATAAGTGAGTGTTCTCTGGAAGAACAACACTCACTTAAATGAGCAATGAATTTAATTCTACTCTCTTATTTTCCCCCCATTCTTATTGCTCTATTATGCCTTTATTTTTTATATCATTCCCATATGAGACAAATACTGCATAAACACATAAAATGTTAGTAACAAATGAAATTTTTAGCCTCTAAGAAAGTAGTGTTCTTGAACAAGCCTTAGGGGTTTATATAGTTTTAATCTATGAAAAATAATTAAGTTCTTCCCAGTGTTCATTTGTATTTTAGTATTAAAGCTCCAGATATCAGAACTGAAAAGATTTCCAGACTCATGCCAGAAGGAAGCTTCTAAGTGTACTCTGGCACAAGGCCACCTGCAGGGTGAGAAAAAGTTCATGATTTCCCACTGTGTGAAGTCACATGGACAAAGTCCTTTTGTCCAAGTGGCCTTGTCATGTGACATCGCTAAATATTTTTCACTTGGCCTTCCAATCACGTCCAAAGTGTCATACCCCTCGAAACAATTTGATGTGTGCATAATGGGAATTTGAGGTGAAGCTAAGAGGGGTCACCGGTTGGCAAGAATTGTACTGTGACTAGTGAACCAAATACAGACATCTCCAAGTTTCCTTAGGACATGTACAAGGTGAGGAAAATTCAAATTAAGAGCCAAAGTCCTTTCAGGGCTGAGAGGTAAAAATAGAGTACTGGTCAGGTTAGTGGAGGACAAAGAGTAGATGAGTTTCTTTTGTTTGAGAACAGAGTTTGGATCAGCATGGATTTCATAGCATTTTCGGGATTTGTACCTTTCACCAAAAGAAGCAAAGGCAAACTGATAATTTCTTAGAGAGCAGAAGGCAAAAAAATTGGAATTTAATTTCTCACATGGCATGAATAAAAACATGCAATGTTTTTCTTGTTTTGAAAAATAACCAAAGGATTATTTGGCAAGAATATTTTTAAATTCCTTCTTTAAGCTACTCATTTTCCTGTCTTAAGCAGTCTTTGCTTCTTATACCAGATCCCATTCCCCTATAGCTGTTTAATCACATGAACCCACAAAGGCCTGTTTCTGCTGGCTTTATTCTGCAGATTTTCAATCAGCCCCATGAATGCCTGTTTTGACACCGTCTCGTTAGCAATTCTGTGCACTACCCAGGCTCCTCCTTTCCTACAATAACAGATCTTCATTAGACTTCCATTTTTCAGCCATTTAAATCCTGACTACAAATTTGAGAATATTATCTGGCTCATCTATTTACCAAACTTAGACAGCAATTTTCTCAAAGATACAATGGTTGTGACTTATCTCCACCATTTATATGTTAAAACAATATTTTTCTAAAGACAATATTACCAAGCATTTGTATACTTGTCAGGCAGGGGAAGCGTTATTTTCCTGAAGGATTTTTTGAGAAGGGACTATGTTCCAAGTCCTCTGACACTCTCCAGGAGAAATAAGTGAGATAAAAATAAGTTGTAAGAAGATGAGAGATTCCTCCAGTGGTTTTAGTTATGAAATGATTTCTGGGGCCCCTGATAAAGTCTGCTCCTAGCTGATAAGCTGAGTAAATAGAAGGCCACTCAAGAATTGAGTGAGAGCAACACAACACAGGTCTTCCCAAATCTCTAGAAGGGCTTCCAACTTTCCTAATCACCTAGTTTTTGGCCATTGTCCAGGATGTCCTAGGGAACTCAGATTCTCTTTTCTTGGTGCCCTTGTGAGTATTGGTCATCCTATCTAATAAAAGCATAATATGAAAATTGACCTAATGGCCGAACAGCAGAATGACCATCCGGGACCACACTATGACACCCACTGGCACCAGGCCAGCCAAGGCAGGTGTGATGCGATTGGTCAGGGGCCCGGCCATTGCCCCATGATCACCCCACAGAGGGAGTCCCAGGCCACTAACCAGCGGGCTGCAGCAGGTGGCTCCGGGAAGCCCAGGTCCTGGGTGCCGGCAGCCAGAGGGAAGCCTGGGTCCCAGGTGCCGGAGGGAAGCCGGTGCCAACAGCCGGGGGAAGGAAGGCCTACTCTTGCATGAATTTCATGCATTGGGCCTCTAGTATTGATTTAAAAATGATGGTGCAGGGATTTCTAAAGAGAGAGTGGTGATTGGGATAGGGAAACTGGTGCTTTTTGAAGCTACAGAAATTTTTAAATAAGAGTGAGAAAACATCAATTGGCCATCTCAAAGAATGATGGTTAAGAAGTTGATGAGGATTATGGGAGCTCTAGAGACCCCAGTATCTCCACATCACATAACACTGGCTTTCATTCCTCTTTACATATTTCTCCTTGAGAATAAACCTCCCTGACAATCAGTCATACTGAAAAATCCTACTGCACCACAGTTGGAAAAACAGGTCAGACTGTAGTTAAAAAAAGGAAAATACAGGAATCCTGTATTTTTGTAGAGTTCTGTGTTGCCTAACTCTTTAAAAATTCTTAGATTCACCACATGGAGCTAAGACCAATGTGATACTTTCAATATTTGACATTTGAATCTAATAATATGAGTTATCATTGCCCACTGTAGTTTATAATATGCTTTCTTTCTTATAATGTTGTTTCTCAAACAGAGATCATCCGAGATGTGACACGGGTATACACGATCAAAGAATAAGGGGCATCACTTTATTGTTCCTGCTGGTAAGACATTTAAAATGCTATTTTGTATTAAAACAAACACACATCTATTATTAAATATAATGCATAATTCACTTGATTTTCTCAGATAAAACCTGAGCCTTCAAAGCAAAGCCACGCCTGAAATGTGCCACAAGGAGCTTTGCCTGCAGTGTGCCCAGAGCACTGAGGGTGCTTGGTGAAAATCTTGTTGGGAAATCTTATTTCATGTTCCCAACAAGAAGTATAGTAGAGAACATGTTTATCCCTTTACCAAAGAGAGAACGAAGGCTTGGGAGGTTCAGAACTTCTCCAAGTCCCTTTGCCACTTTCTGCTGGGCAGTCCTATTCTAGAGTCTGTGTTCTCGGCTCTAGAAAATGCTGCCTTTCAGTGCTGTGTGGTCACTGCCATTCAAATAATTGCCCCTAATTGTGTGGGTTGAAATTCTTTGACGCTCCTTCCACCCACCAAGAGGTGGAGTCCAGCTCTCCTTCTTGTGAATCTGGGCTGGCCAGTGCGCACTTTGAGCCACAGAGTAACGAGAAATGAACTCTCCCTCTTCTGGGACAGCCTTTAAGAAACTGGCAGCTTCTACGTTGGCCGATTGAAGCCCTGGGATGCCCCACAAGAAATCAAACTACCCTGCCTGAGAGACTGTGGAGAGGCCCTGAGGCTTCATAGAGTCGGAGGAGGATATATGTGAGTAAAAACATCTTAGACCCGACAACCCAGGAAGAACAATAGTGAAAGACCCCACACAGCATCACATTGTACAGTAGAACTGCCCAACTGAACTCTGCCTGAATTCCTGACCCACAAAGTCATGAGATATAATAATAATAATAAAGTGGTTGTTTTTAAAACACTAAGTTTTGGGGCACTCTGTATGCAGCAGTCATTAACTGGGAAACTGCTCAAAGGGCATTCCCATTTCTGTTGCCTCTGGGATTTTTCAATGTTTCATGGAAATCTTACTGATATTCCAGATGTGATACTGTAATTATCCTACTCATGGGCTTAATAAAGGGCCAGCAATTGAGAGAATTATGGCGACCCATCATCACTTGTTACATCAAGTCTGTAGATAAAGATGAATGTGAAATCGGAGCCACCCAGGTCCCCTGCTCCACTTCTGCATCTGGGCTGCTGATGGTTCTTCCCTGAATTCAAAGTGAGGCTTCGGGGGTCCATAGCCACCTGCTCCACAAGTTAAACTGCCATGAGTTTTTGTGTCATAACTAGATATTTATATGGTTCTCCCGGGAAAGGTAAGTTTTTCTGAAACACTGAGTCATCCATCTACTGGATACAGATAAGCCATGGATGCATCAGAATGAAGATGTTTTTTGAAGTGTTGGCAATGTCTGATCTCAGCATCTGTGTTAATGCAGGATGGGAAATAGAAAGCACCGATGCTTCCTTTTATGGACCTGGAACTCTGCTTAGCTACAGAATGCCAGCTGTCCCCAAGGTCCAATTGCTTACTGCTCAAGAACAGTCGATGTATAAAATAGAGCACACACTGGCAGAGAAGCCCTGGGCAACCGTGCAGATTCAAGAATAGTTGGGACTGATGCCTCTCAGATGAAAATGCTTCCCTTTGTTATAATTTCTAAGCATTTTCTCATAGAATCAAAATTTTGTTTTGTTTTAAGAAGATTCTTTTTTTTAAAATTCCACCCAAGGATATGTTTTTTAATTGAAGAGAGAGAGAGAGAGAGAGAGAGAGGAGAAAGAAAGAAACATTGATCGGTTACCTTTTGGGACCCACAACCTGGTTGTGTGCCTTCACCAGGAATCAAAGCCGGGACCCTTCAGTGCATGAGATGATGATCCAACCAACTTCACCACACCAGCCAAGGCTAGAATTAAAATTTTTAAACATTTGTTTTGTTAGTTCACTTGTTTTGGTGTTTACAACAACCTGGACTGTTTATTTACAGTCTGAAAAAACAATATCGAATGCTAATATTTAAATGAAAGCCCCTAATAGCTACTTACTGATAACTACTAAAAATCCATCATGACTTCCCCGGTGCCAGCTTGTTTTGCCTGAAGTCTTTCCCTTCACTATTCTCCAACCACTGTGCCTTTACTAAGGACTTATTATATGCCAGCCTCTGTGCCAAGTTCTGTAGAGGCATTATCTGATTTAATATTCATAACAGCCATAGGAAAGAGATAATATTACTGCTATTTTATAAATAAGTTAACACCAATAAATTATGTAACTTGGCCGAGGTGACATAAATACTGAGTATTGAAGCCAGATATTTGACTTTATATATACTGACCCAACTCCTAAATGTGTATATAAGTGAGATTAGGTACCTCCTTTAAAAAAATTTGGTATTAAAGTTGTGCTGGCTTTGTAAAAGGAACCAGGAGCTTCAATATTTTTTACTATGGCTAGAATCATTTAAATGACATATAACTAGCTATTCTTTAAAGGTTAGATAGATTTCAGCCCTGAAACGAATAGGTAACATTTTTAGTAAAATATCTTTTTGACCTTTCCATTGTCTTCTGTGGTAATTGGTCTGCTCAAAGTTTTCCATGTCTCCTTCTTGGATTAATTTTGGTCATTTATATTTTACTGAAAATGATTAATTTCTTCCAGATTTGCAAAGTTGTATCCATAGAGTTGCATGTAGTTCCCTATTGTAATATTTTTAAAACTCTCCTACATTGTAGTTTGCCTCTTTTCTCATCCGTATTTTTTAAAATATTTTTACTTATTTCCTTAAGCAAGTTGGCATACAAGGTTATACAAGGTTATACATTTCATTGGTTCCTTTGAAATACTAGCACTTAGATTTATTTATCGTTCTACTAAATTTTATTTCTCATTAGGTTAGGTTCAGTTTTTTATTTTTGTAAATTCTCTCTTCCTAAATTGAAAAATAAGGTTTTCTTATTCTTTTTCTAGTTTACTAGATAGAAAGCAAATTTCTCCATGTTTCATTTTTCTTACTAAAATAATAAAGGCATTAGGACCATCTATTATTATTATTATATTTAAGTTCATGTATGAAATATTCTTTTTCATACTTTCCATAGAACTTGGAATATTATCATTAAGATTTTTTTGACCTAATGGCGATTTAAAAATATATTTCTTTTTTATTGTTTGAAGTATTACAAATAGTAGTACATATGTCTCCTTTTTCCTTCAATGACCTCCTGCCGGCCTCCCTTACTGCCCCTCCCCCTCCCTCCCCCCTCCCCCACAGATGCCCTCACACACCCTCTCCCTCAATGTCTGTGTCCATTGGTTATGCTTATATGCATGCATACAAGTCCTTTGGCTCTTAATTTCCAAGTAGTTAATATTTTTTACTTTTGGTCAACATTTTATCATATACTCATACAGAAAATGGAATCTAGCATTTTCTAACTAAAGAATAAAAGAACATAAATAATTAGGAATTATTCAAGGAGTGCAAAGTTGGTTGTACATTAGGATGTCAATCAAAGTAATTCATTAGAACAACAAGGGGTAAATGGCATTTACTAAATTCAACAATCATTCTTCTAATACTCCAGGTAGGGGATCAGACTTCCAGAAGGGTTGAGTGAGGAGCTCAGCACATGTTATCTCCCCCAAAAGCAATAAAACTAGACAAAATTGTAAAAAAAAAAATCATTTCAAACTCTAGGAATTAACCAAAGCAAACAAATGAAAAAGTATTATGTACTCCTGTTACCTTCCTTGTTGTAAAGTCTCTTTTTTGTCTAATATTATTGTAGTCACTTAAACATTCTTTAGATCAGTGTTTTTATCTTTTTCACTTTTAACCTGTTAGTTTCTTCATATGTAAGGCAGATTTCTTATAGAAACATTATATATTATTTACATGTAATGCAATTATTAATGTGGTTAGGTTTACATACACTCTGTTGCTATTTATTTTCTATCTGTCCCACCTATTCTTTGCTTTTCCCCCCTATTTCTCCTGCTTTAAAAAAAATGTTTTTTTTGTATTTTATTTTCTCCATTATTGACTTTTTAGATACATCTCTTTCTTTTGTATCTTTATCTTATCACAGTCTACCTTCAAATAAATGTACAATACTTGCCATATATTTTAAGAGCCTTAAAACAGTGTACTCCATCTTCTCCCCTCAAACAAACAATGTTGTGATTACTTTAGTTCTATATATGTTATAAACCTCACAATACATGTGAGTAGGGAAAAGCCCAGTTCTCCACCTGTGTTTCTCTTTACTCTCACACTACTACCACACTCACACTTCTGACACCAGATGTGTGGAGATTTTCCCCAGAAAGTAATTCTATGACACCAGCTGGGTGTCCTACAATTTAACTCAACTCTGACACTATCTACCTGGAGATGGCATCAGATCAGGAAGGTTAGGGGCTCAGTCCTAAAAAACCGCCCCTCCCCCCTTCAGATACCAGTCACAAGTTGAGATTGTCACCTGGCTTCTAACAGATTGGCTATAACTCACAGGTGCAGAGCAGATCGCAGAACTCAGGACAACAGTTTGCTTATTCACCACCTTAGGACACAAATGAACATGCAGATGGAGAAGATGCATAGTCCAGGTGTGTGGGAAGGGGTGCGGAGCCTCCATGCCCTCCCCCGATGTGCCGCTCTCCCAGCACCTGCACATGTTCACCAACCTGGGAGCTTTCCAGACCTCATGATTTTGAGATTTTCATGCAGGCTTCATCACATAGGCATGATCGATGGATTATTAATTCAATTTCCAACTCCATCTCTGAAGAATGGGGGAGAGGTGTGAGGGCTGAAAATTTGAAGCTTCTATTCTTGGATTTTTTTTGTGACCAGCCCCTATCCAGGGGCCCACAAAGAGTCACCTCATTTAGAACAAAAGACACTGATATCACCCTGGAAATTCCAAGGGATTTAAAAACTGTATGTCAGGAACTGGGGTCAAAGACCAAATTCTAGAACAAAAGATGCTCCTCGTACTCTTATCATTTAGGAAATTACAATGGTTTTAGGAGCTCTGTGCCAGGAACCAGGGCAGAGACCAACATATATTTTTTTTCTATTATCTCACAGCTTATTACTTTTCTTTAAACAGTCAATTACCTTTTAAAGAGATTTTAAAAGTGAAAAAAAGTATCTTATATTTAACCACATATTTACCATTTCCAGTGCCCTTTATTTCTTTGTGTTGATCCACATTTCTTCTAGTATCAGATCCTTCTGCCTGAAGAACTTCTCTTAACACTATTTGTAACATAGACCTTTCAGTTTTTAGTCCCCCTTTTTAAAAGTGTATATTTAACTTTCATTTTTGGAATAGCTTTTTATCTTTTATCTAGATTGATGAGGTTTTCTTTCAGTACTTCATTGTCTTCTGGCTCTGACAAGAAGTCTGCTCTCTTCCTTATTTCTCTTCTCTCTATATTGTGTTTTCCCCTATCCTCCTCTGCTTTTAAGATTTTTACTTATCACTATTTTCAATAATTTGATCATGATGTGTGTTGGCAGGATTTTCTCTGTATTTCATTTGTGCTTCATTGAGTTTATATTTGCAAGTTTAGAGTAGTCATCAAATTTAAACATTTTTCAGCCATTATTTCTTCAAATATTTTTATCTTTTTCCCCCTTCTAGGGTTCTAATTATACATATGTCAAATGGCTTGCTATTCTCTCACAAGGTTTCTCCTGTTCTGTGTTTCATTTTAGATAAATTTCTAAGATCGTGGATACTTTTTCTGTGGGGTCTAAGATGCTGTGAACCCCAGTTAGTGTAATTTTCATTTCAAGTATTACAGTGGAAAAAATAAAGTAGGGAGGGAGATCAACCCCAGGTAGTTATTTTAAATATGGCCACCAGTGCAAACCTTACTGATGGGTAACATTTAAGCAAAGACCTGAAGAAGGTGACGTCAGGAAATTCATGTCTTCATCATCTTTCAAAGTGTTTTCTATTATACTTTTAGCGCTTTCTCTTTTCTCTTTAATCTGTTCTTTTGATCTAATATGGCAAGGATAGCTTTCCATTGTCTTCTGTGTGCTCCCTTTTGCCTCACATTCTTCTTAATTGTGTCCTTTTACATTTTTTCCCATTTGTCTCTCTCCTGTCTTCCTTTCCCTTACTATTGGTTCCCTTTTCTGCTTCTCTTTTGGCTTCTATATCAGCAATGGTTTTATTTTTCTCTTTATTCTTTCCAAAGCTTTGACTGCTCACTCTTTATCTCCTTTCACCTTGTATATGAACACTTTTATTTCCTCTTATATTCTTATTTCTGGAGATCACATCTTTAATTTAGCTGATATCTAGAGGAAACATTCTGTGGCATGTCTTCCTCTGGGGAATGTTTTTTATCTGATTTTTGCTTACCATGTATTGTTTTCTTTGTGGCTGCTTTGTGATTATTACTCAACTTTGACTGGGACCAATTCTTTGTGGACCAATTACTTACAAAAAATTGTCTGGGAAGGGTTCATGAACTGAATAGTGACAGAAGATGGCTTGGGCTTAGGACTTTATTTCCTGCCACACACATGCATGTCTACATTGCATGTTCTCAAATGCTAATGTTCTAGAGCCACCTTTGGGATAAGCTGAAAGTTCATTAGTCCCTTGTATGCCATGTTTTGTTGTTGTTGTTTTAAAGTGGTGATTTAGTAGTTATTGTTCCTGATTATTTTCTTTGTCTATTATCAGCAGTTTCTGAACTGATTGTCACTTACTTCTTCTTATA